GGGGGTTTTTAAGGGAAAGGGGGGTTTTAGGAAGAAATGGGGAGTGTGAGGGAAAAGGGGGGGGAGGGGAGGGGGAAATGGGGGAGGTGGGGGAAACTGGGGAGTGTGGGAGAATGGGGGAGTTTTGGGGGGAAAGGGGAATGTGGGAAAGGGTTGGGGGTTTAGGAAAACTGGGTGGGTGTGAGGAAGGTGGGGGGGGGTGTGAGGAAAACTGGTGGGGTAGGAGGAAACTGGGGGGGTGGGGGAAACTGTGGGGGGTGGGGGAAATGGGTGGGTGTGAGGGGGAACTGGGGGGGGAGGGGAAGGGTGGGGGGGGGAGTGGGGAGGGGGTGGAAATTGGGTGGGGTGTGGGAGGGAAAGGGGGGGGGTGAGGAGAAAAGGGGGGGAGTGTGAGGGGAAATGGGGGGTGTGAGGAGAAAAGGGGGGTGTGGGAGGATGGGGGAGTGAGGGAAACTGGGTGGAGTGTGAGGGGGAAAGGGTGGAGGTGTGAGGGAACGGGTGGAGTTGTGAGGAAAATGGGGGAGTGTGAGGGAACTGGGTGGAGTGTGAGGAGAAATGGGTGGATTGAGGAGAAACTGGGGTGGGAGTGTGTGGGGGAAACTGGGTGGGCGTGGTGGGGGGGGGAAACAGTGGGGAGGGTTAGTGAGGGAGACTGTGGGAGGGTGGTGAGGAAGACTGTGGGAGGGTAGTGAGGAAGACTGTGGGAGGGTGGTGAGGAAGACTGTGGGAGGGTAGTGAGGAAGACTGTGGGAGGTTAGTTGAGGAAAGGAAGATGTGGGAGGGTTGTGAGGAAGACTGTGGGAGCAGAGTAGAGAGGAAGAGTGTGGGGTGGGTAGTGTGGGATGACTGTGGGAGAGGAGTGAGGAAAGATATTGTGGAGGGTTCCTAGGAGGAAGACTGTGGGAGGGTAGTGAGGAAGACTGTGGGAGGGTGGTGAGGAAGACTGTGGGAGGGTGGTGAGGAAGACTGTGGGAGGGTAGTGAGGAAGACTGTGGCCCGAGCGGTGGTGAGGAAGTCTGTGGGGAGGGTAGTGAGGAGACTGTCGGTGGCGTAGTGAGGAAGACTGTGGGAGGGTAGTGTGGAAGAGGAAGACTGTGGGAGGGCTAGTGCTGGAAGGACTGTGGGAGGGTGGTGAGGAAGACTGTGGGAGGGTTGTGGAGGAAGACTGGGGTGGGATGGTAGGCAGACTGTGGGATAGGTAGTGAGGAAGACTGTGGAGGGTAGTGAGGAAGACTGTGGAGGGTAGTGAGGAAGACTGTGGGAGGGTAGTGTGGAAGACTGTGGGAGGGTAGTGTGGAAGACTGTGGGAGGGTAGTGTGGAAGACTGTGGGTGCTTCGAGCGTAGTGTGGAAGACTGTGGGAGGGTTGTGTGGAAGTCTGTGGAGGGTGGTGAGGAAGGGACTGTGGGAGGGTAGTGTGGAAGACTGTGGGGAGGGTAGTAGTGCAGGAAAAAAGGACTGTGGGAGGGTAGTGAGGAAGACTGTGGGAGGAGGGTTCAGTGTGGAACAAGGTATATTTGTGGGAGGGTGTATGCGGGCAAGACTGTTGGGAGGGTAGTGTGGAAGACTGTGGGAGGGTAGTGGGAAGACTGTGGAGGGTGTTAGTTAGGAAGACTGTGGGGAGGGTAGTGTGGAAGACTGTGGGAGGGTGGTGTGGAAGACTGTGGGAGGGTAGTGTGGAAGACTGTGGGAGGGTAGTGAGGAAGACTGTGGGAGGGTAGTGTGGAAGACTGTGGGAGGGTAGGTGGAAGACTGTGGGACGGGTAGTGTGGAAAGATGTGGGAGGTAGTGTGGGAAGAACTGTGGGAGGGTAGTGTGGAAGACTGTGGTGAGAGAGGGTAGTGTGTGAAGACTGTGAGAGGGTAGTGAGGAAGACTGTGGGAGGGTAGTGAGGGAAGACTGTGGGAGGGTAGTGAGGAAGACTGTGGGAGGGTAGTGTGGAAGACTGTGTGGGAGGGTAGTTGTGGGAAGATGTGGGAAGGGTAGTGAGGAAGGACTGTGGGAGGGTAGTGTGGAAGACTGTGGGAGGGTAGTGTGGAAGACTGTGGGAGGGTAGTGAGGAAGACTGTGGGAGGGTAGTGAGGAAGACTGTGGGAGGGTAGTGTGGAAGACTGTGGGAGGGTGGTGAGGAAGACTGTGGGAGGGTAGCGAGGAAAGACGTGGGAGGGTTGGTAGCGAGGAAGACTGTGGGAGGGTAGTGGAGGAGAACTGTGGCGAGGGTAGTTGGAGATGTGAGGAGGGTAGTGAGGAAGAACTCGTAGGGAGGGTAGTGTGGAAGCTGTGGCGAGGGAGGTGAGGATAAGACTGTGAGAGGGGTAGCGAGAAGATGTGGGAGGGTAGCGAGGAAGACTGTGGTGAGGGGTAGTGAGGAAGGACGGTGGAGGGTGGTGAGGAAGATGTGGGAAGGTGTGAGGAAGATGTGGGAGGGTATGTGAGGAAAAGTCTGTGGGGAGGCGGTTAGTGAGGAAAAGACTAGGGAGAGGGTAGTTGAGGAGACTGTGGGGGGATAAACAAGACACAATAACGTGGGTGCAACAATTTGCAACAAACACTCTTTAGAGAGTTTCGTTTCGGTCAGTCATGGACCATATCAAGCACCGAGGCAGTAAATGGGGAGAAAAAAAAATCAAAAGACAAATCAGAAAGAGAAATGAAGGCAGATCAAGTGGTGGAAAACAGCTGAGATGTTTACAAGCGGATATTTGACACTAATAACTGTGGTTCGAGCCTTCACAACACTTCCTAAATTATCAACAGGTGTTACACTACTGCCAAACGTGCCTCGCCATGCATTTTATTTGCTTATAACTGATTAAATATTACATCTACTTCACCCCCCTCCCTCTCAAGGAATATGAACAAAGGGATTAAACGCAAGTTCTGTTGGTGCTTCAGCACCGCGAATGGTAGGGGTTACAATAAGACCACACAAGACCTTAATAAATTAGACGCATGTGCAGCACTTGGTTATCTTTACTGAGGAAACGTTTCGCCATACAGTGGCGTCATCAGTCCAGTACAAAGGAGAACTCTGAAGATCAGAAGAAGATTGAGGTAATCTGTCCCTCAGCCTGTAGTCGATGTAATCAGTCTATCGAATAAGATTGATGACTCATTGCCTCAATCTCCTTCTGATTTTCACAATTCTCATTTGTATGGACTGATGAAGCCACTGTGTGGCGAAACGTTTCCTCAATAAAGATACCCAAGATGTGTCTAATTTATCACCTTGTCGGTTCTCTGAACTACATCTGATTTCTTTTTACCTGTCTATGTGTCACCTATCATCTATTTCTTTAATCTCTCATGTTCTTGTTGACAAAGCGCAAGTGCGATCTGGACGTCAGAACTGATCAATATTTTTTATTTCCAGATTGTACATGAGTGTAGTTCTTCCCCGCCGTGGTCATAACATGTTCTTGTTCAGTTTCAGACTAACTTCTTGACTGGGAGTCACGGACTGACTGATGACTTCTGTGACCATAGTCAGGGATCACCTCATGACCTCGCAACTGACGACCTCTGCCATGGAATGCAAGGTGATGAGCCCTTCCATGACCTGCCGGATGGTGACCTCTGCCACGACCTACAGATTGTTGACTCCTGTTATGACCTCTCTGATGACCTACTGAATGCTGGAATCTTGGTGGAGACTTTTAACCCAGTGACCTGTCAGTCTGACCTCCTGTCTGGGACTCGCCTTGACAGTGAAATCCCAGAAAATTTCGACTCACTACCTTTCTCTGACAGCATCCCAGTGACTGACCTTACCGAGATTTACCAGACTTCGAGTCCGTCCTTAGTTATATTGGAGCCACTAACTCTGCCTCACCAGGGCACACTCCAGCTCCCGGTCCCTCTAGTTGAGGGCAGCATCCCCGTGGATGTCATTACCCCTGCTATGCCCCTTCAATACATTCCAGAGCCCTTCTTTTTAAACCTACCCTTCCAGATGGAGGATCAGCTGTCCTTAGGGTGTTCGGAGGGCGAGGAGGAAGTGGAGGAGGAGGAGCAAAATGATGATTGTTTAAATGTTCACGACGGAAGGGAGCAGTTGGAGAGTAGTAGATGTCTCTCCCAGGAACAACCCAGGTCTCTAAACGACAACTGGAGACTTGGAGATGGTCATGGACAAATCTTCCCAGCGTTCTCCCAGTAACACCAGAAATTGAAGACGTCGTCTTACGACATCTAATGTTTTTTAGTGATGTAGATTTTATATATAACCCATAACTTATAATACCAGACACAACACAATTACTGATACTACACACAAACAATAATACCAGACACAAAAAACACAGCCAATTCACAAGTCTCATAAGAAAACAAAAGGAAGAGAGCTACATTTAACATATATTATTGACCTGAACTTAGCTGTTTTCTAACCTCCTGATGTCGTGACCTGCGGTACCTCTCAAAACTTTAGGTCACTTTGCTGTTCACTGATGATGTCGTCCAGCCTCTGCTGGACTGACTGTTCTTTCCAGCACCACATACAGTGTTGTCTCAGTGTACCCTGCAACCACATTTAGTGCCTCGGAGACCTTCCTTCCAGTACATGTTCAGACCTTCCTTCCAGTACATGTTCAGACCTTCCTTCCAGTACATGTTCAGACCTTCCTTCCAGTATATGTTCAGACCTGCCTTCCAGTACATGTTCAGACCTTCCTTCCAGTACATGTTCAGACCTTCCTTCCAGTACATGTTCAGACCTGCCTTCCAGTACATGCTTAGACCTTCCTTCCAGTACATGTTCAGACCTTCCTTCCAGTATATGTTCAAACCTTCCTTCCAGCACATGTTCAGACCTTCCTTCCAGTACATGTTCAGACCTTCCTTCCAGTATATGTTCAGACCTTCCTTCCAGTACATGCTTAGACCTTCCTTCCAGTACATGTTCAGACCTTCCTTCCAGTACATGTTCAGACCTTCCTTCCAGTACATGCTCAGACCTTCCTTCCAGTATATGTTCAGACCTGCCTTACAGTACATGCTTAGACCTTCCTTCCAGTACATGTTCAGACCTTCCTTCCAGTACATGTTCAGACCTTCCTTCCAGTATATGTTCAGACCTGCCTTCCAGTACATGCTTAGACCTTCCTTCCAGTACATGTTCAAACCTTCCTTCCAGTACATGTTCAGACCTTCCTTCCAGTATATGTTTCAGACCTGCCTTCCAGTACATGCTTAGACCTTCCTTCCAGTACATGTTCAGAACCTTCCTTCCAGTACATGTTCAGACCTTCCTTCCAGTACATGTTCAGACCTTCCTTCCAGTATATGTTCAGACCTGCCTTCCAGTACATGCTTAGACCTTCCTTCCAGTACATGTTCAGACCTTCCTTCCAGTATATGTTCAGACCTTCCTTCCAGTACATGTTCAGACCTTCCTTCCAGTACATGTTCAGACCTTCCTTCCAGTACATGTTCAGACCTTCCTTCCAGTACATGTTCAGACCTTCCTTCCAGTATATGTTCAGACCTTCCTTCCAGTACATGTTCAGACCTTCCTTCCAGTACATGTTCAGACCTTCCTTCCAGCACATGTTCAGACCTTCCTTCCAGCACATGTTCAGACCTTCCTTCACGTCTATGTTTTAGACCTTCCTTCCAGTCCATGTCACCCGCGTGACGGCCCCAGGGGTCACCTGGGTGACCCCTGGGGGTCACCTTGAAGCCTCACAATGACAACTCAGCTCGTGTCAACAAATAAATAATTAAAACTTACAGATTCTCTCTCATTACCCAGGTTCTGCTCTATGGTATTTTCTCTCCATAATTACTTGAATAAAGATCCAAAAAAAGCAATCACCAACAATATTAAAAATAATAATAAAGCTTAATTAACAGTTAAATAATAAGAATGAAACAGTTAAATAACAAGAATGAAACAGTTAAATAACAAGAACGAAACAGTTAAATAACAAGAATGGAACTGTTAAATAACAAGAATGGAACTGTTAAATAACAAGAATGAAACAGTTGAATAACAAGAATGAAACAGTTAAATAACAAGAATGAAACAGTTAAATAACAAGAATGAAACAGTTAAATAACAAGAATGAAACAGTTAAATAACAAGAATGAAACAGTTAAATAACAAGAATGAAACAGTTAAAATAACAAGAATGAAACAGTTAAATAACAAGAATGAAACAGTTAAATAACAAGAATGAAACAGTTAAATAACAAGAATGAAACAGTTAAATAACAAGAATGAAACAGTTAAATAACAAGAATGGAACTGTTAAATAACAAGAATGAAACAGTTAAATAACAAGAATGGAACAGTTAAATAACAAGAATGAAACAGTTAAATAACAAGAATGAAACAGTTAAATAACAAGAATGAAAACAGTTAAATAACAAGAATGAAACAGTTAAATAACAAGAATGAAACAGTTAAATAACAAAATGAAACAGTTAAATAACAAGAATGAAACAGTTAAATAACAAGAATGAAACAGTTAAATAACAAGAATGAAACAGTTAAATAACAAGAATGAAACAGTTAAATAACAAGAATGAAACAGTTAAATAACAAGAATGGAACTGTTAAATAACAAGAATGAAACAGTTAAATAACAAGAATGGAACAGTTAAATAACAAGAATGAAACAGTTAAATAAGAATGGAACAGTTAAATAACAAGAATGGAACAGTTAAATAACAAGAATGAAACAGTTAAATAACAAGAATGAAACAGTTAAATAACAAGAATGAAACAGTTAAATAACAAGAATGAAACAGTTAAATAACAAGAATGAAACAGTTAAATAACAAGAATGAAACAGTTAAATAAGAATGGAACAGTTAAATAACAAGAATGGAACAGTTAAATAACAAGAATGAAACAGTTAAATAACAAGAATGAAACAGTTAAATAACAAGAATGGAACAGTTTAAATAACAAGAATGAAACAGTTAAATAACAAGAATGAAACAGTTAAATAACAAGAATGAAACAGTTAAATAACAAGAATGAAACAGTTAAATAACAAGAATGAAACAGTTAAATAACAAGAATGAAACAGTTAAATAACAAGAATGAAACAGTTAAATAACAAGAATGAAACAGTTAAATAACAAGAATGAAACAGTTAAATAACAAGAATGAAACAGTTAAATAACAAGAATGAAACAGTTAAATAACATGAATGAAACAGTTTAATAACAAGAATGAAACAGTTAATAACAAGAATGAAACAGTTAATAACAAGAATGAAACAGTTAAATAACAAGAATGAAACAGTTAAATAACATGAATGAAACAGTTTAATAACAAGAATGAAACAGTTAAATAACAAGAATGAAACAGTTAATAACAAGAATGAAACAGTTAATAACAAGAATGAAACAGTTAAATAACCAGATGAAACGAATCTTCAAAACTAACTCGTAACTCTACGAGTTACAGTTACGTACACGAAATACGAATATATTTAACAGAGATTTAGTGTAAATATTTCGTTGCATTTCGTGACCTGGAAATTTACATAAATTTGTCAAACTGCAAAACGTCATAAAAATGCAAAGTTTACAAGATTATTTTCAAGTTTTACAAGAAATTAAACATCGAAAATCCTGTGAGATATATTCCATATTATTTTAGAACTTAAATATATATATACATATACATATATATATATATATATATATATATGTATATATATATATATATATATATATAATATATATATATATATATTATATATATATATATATATATATATATATATATATAATATACATACACAGAGTAAAAAAGAGGTAAACCCTACAAAGAAGAAACACATTGACCATCATTCGTCACAGTTACTCCCTCTCACCGGTGTATTGTATACATACAGAGTATACCTCTGACTGGTGTATAATATACATACACTTGTATGTTACCAACATTCAACTTTGTTTATCTCGGATGACTCGAGTGAGGAATCAACACCCAGGGAGAGTATGTAATGAGGATGAGAGGAAAGTTGGGTGAGGATGGGGAGGTGGTGAGGATGTGGAGGTGGTGAGGATGTGGAGGTGGTGAGGATGGGGAGGTGGTGACGATGTGGAGGTGGTGAGGATTGGAGGTGGTGAGGATGGGGAGGTGGTGAGGATGGGGAGGTGGTGAGGATGTGAGGTGGTGAGGATGGGGAGGTGTGAGGATGTGGAGGTGTGAGGATGGGGAGGTGTGAGGATGTGGAGGTGGTGAGGATGGGGAGGTGGTGAGGATGTGGAGGTGGTGAGGATGGGGAGGGGTGAGGATGTGGAGGTGGAGAGGATGGGGAGGTGGTGAGGATGGGGAGGTGTGAGGATGTGGAGGAGGTGAGGATGGGGAGGTGGAGAAGATGGGGAGGTGGTGAGGATGTGGAGGTGGTGAGGATGTGGAGGTGGTGAGGATGGGGAGGTGGTCAGGATGGGGAGGAGGTGAGGATGGGGAGGTGGAGAAGATGGGGAGGTGGTGAGGATGTGGAGGTGGTAAGGATGTGGAGGTGGTGAGGATGGGGAGTGGAGAGGATGTGGAGGTGGTGAGGATGGGGAGGTGGTGAGGATGTGGAGGTGGTGAGGATGGGGAGGAGGTGAGGATAGGGAGGTGGAGAAGATGGGGAGGTGGTGAGGATGTGGAGGTGGTGAGGATGGGAGGTGGTGAGGATGGGAGGAGGTGAGGATGGGAGGAGGAGAGGATGGGGAGAAGGTGAGGATGTGGAGGTGGTGAGGATGGGGAGGAGGTGAGGATGGGGAGGTGGAGAAGATGGGAGGTGGTGAGGATAGGGAGGTTGTGAGAATGTGGAGGTGGTGAGGATGGGGAGGTGTGAGGATGGGGAAATGGTGAGGATGTGGAGGTGGTGAGGATGTGGAGTGGTGAGGTTGGGAGGTGGTGAGGATGTGGAGGTGGTGAGGATGGGAGGAGGTGAGGATAGGGAGGAGGTGAGAATGGGGAGGATGGGGAGGAGGTGAGGATGGGGAGGAGGTGAGGATGGGGAGGAGGTAAGGATGGGGGAGGAGGTGAGTATGGGGAGTAGGTGAGGATGGGGGAGGAGGTGAGGGTGGGGAGGAGGTGAGGATGGGGAGGATGGGGACGAGGTTAGGATGGGGAGGATGGGGAGGATGGGGAGGATGGGAGAGGATGGGAGGATGGGAGGAGGGGAGGAGGTGAGAATGGGGAGAGGTGAGTATGGGGAGGAGGTGAGTATGGGGAGGAGGTGAGGATGGGGAGGAGGTAAGGATGGGGAGGAAGTGAGGATGGGAGGATGGAGAGGTGAGGAAGGGAGGAGGTGAGGATGGCGAGGATGGGGAGATGGGCGAGATGGGGAGGATGTGAGATGGAAGGTGAGGATGGGGAGGAGGTGAGGATGGGGAGCAGGTGAGGATGGGGAGGATGGGGAGGAGGTAGGATGGGGAGGATGGGAAGGATGGGAGGATGGGGAGGAGGTGAGGATGAGGAGGAGGTGAGGATGGGGAGGAGGTGATGATGGGGAGAGTGAGAATGGGGAGGATGGGAGGTGAGGATGGGGAGGTGAGGATGGGGAGGTTAGGATGGGGAGGAGGTGAGGATGGGGAGGAGGTGAGGATGGGGAGGAGGTGAGGATGGGAGGAAGTGAGATGGAAAGGATGGGGAGGAGGTGAGAATGGGGAGGATGGGGATTTGAAGATGGGGAGGAGTGAGGATGGGGAGGAGTGAGGATGTGGGGGTTTAGGATGGGGAGGAGGTGGATAAGGAGGAATGAGGAGGGGAGAGGTGAGATGGGAGAGGTGAGGATGAGGAGAGGAGGAGATGAGGATGGGAGGATGGGGAGGAGGTGAGATGGGAGGAGTAAGGATGGGGAGAAGTGAGATGGGGAGAGGTGAGGATGTGGAGGATGGGACAAGGTGAGGATGGGGACGAGGTGAGATGGGAGGAGTGAGATGGGAGTGATGATGGGGGTGAGGTGGGGAGGTTAGATGGGGAGTAGGGGAGGATGGGGAGAGGTGAGGATGGGAGGAGGCGAGGATGGGAGGTGAGATGGGAGGTGAGGATGGGAGGATGGAGTAGGTGAGGATGGGGAGGAGTGAGGATGGGGAGGACGGAGAGGTGGATGGGGAGGATGGGAGGAAGTAGGTGGGGATGGGAGGTGAGATGGGAAGTGGGATGGGGAAATGGGATGGAGGATTGGGAGGAGGATGGATGGGGGGGATGGGGAGGATTGATGGGATGTCG